GGGAAGGAAGAAGTGAAGCTACGCGCCAGCCTTTGGGGGACTTTTTCCAGAAATAGCACTGTTTATTTCCCCCCCCCCCCCCCCCCAAAAATAGCACCCAGTCTCGAAAAATTACAAAAATAGCACATAATTCGAAAAAAAATCATGGACCAAACCGCAGGGTTGGGCAGCATTTTTGGACCAAACCGCCCCCACCCGAGCGGTTTTCAAAACCGCCCCGTAAATGAAAACCGCGCCCTCACCTAGCGGTTTTCTTGTAAATTGTGGGTGGGGTGGCGGTTTGCGAGAAAAGGGAGCTATTTTTGAAAATTTTCGGGACTGGGTGCTATTTTTGTAAAAAGAAAATTAAACAATGCTATTTCTGGAAAAATCCGCCTTTAGGGGGGAGAAGAGGTATGACAGAGAGAGATTAGATTTGGTGATTTTATGTTATGTAATTGCTTAATGAGTAATCCCACTAGTTATAGAGTATATATCTCGACTAATTTCCCTTCCATACCCAACTAACATGACTTAACAAAGTATTCCCTCATTATTTTCAAAACCCCCAAATAATCCCTAAATGTCTCAAATCATAAATAACGACAAATAAGTCCAAATGATAAAATATCAAATATTTGGATTTCTAATAGCGATTGAGCGGAACAATGTCATATACCGCCTCCTGGGATTGCTAAAAGACATCCAACCAAGGTTGTCAAACCGGTTTATGCCGGTGTGCCGGTTTTGAAAGTGGAATGGTCCGACCGTGGTACAACCAGTATTCACGCCGGTTGTGCCGGTTTTAATAAAGTATATGAGACAAATGGAAATCCTCAATTCCAAATAAATTAGTCATCAAAAAGCAATTAGAAAAATTATTTCACACAAAATAAATTATAGCTAAGAATTGGTAACTAATACTAAACAATTAGATGCTTAAAAATAAAAGTATATAAAATGAATTTTATTAATGTTTATAATGATTTGTGTAAAATTTTGTGTTAGATATATAATATATAAGGTTAATATATACAACAAATTTGCTTGTAGCCTACTGGTGTATAAGAGAGTCTAAAATGAACATGAGGTACTTCGTTCAAATCCTAAGGAGGGTGTTTATTTTTGGATAAAATATGTGTAACATTGACTTCCGGTTTCTGGTCTAACCGGCCGGAATTTCCGGAATTGACCGAGTCTGATCGGCATTGACCGGATTTGACCACAGTTAAATACCGGCCTCTTTCCAGCCGGTTTGGTGCCCGGTACCGATTGTACCCGGTTGAACCGGCCGGCATGAGACCGGTTTGACAACCATGCATCCAACACAGTGAATCTTATAACTGGGATTGCGTGGCAACGGACAAAATTTTGAAACAAATTTCTCAAAGTTGAAAAAAGCAGAGAGATTATTCATTCACAACCTCTAATGAATGAACCCAAACAGACTAAAGAAAAAGTGAACTTCAATTAGGGGTGGGCATTCTGTCGGTTCGGTTCAAACCAAACCAAAATAATGCATACCAGGTGCCCGGTACCGGTTGTACCCGGTTGAACCGGCCGGCATGAGACCGGTTTGACAACCATGCATCCAACACAGTGAATCTTATAACTGGGATTGCGTGGCAACGGACAAAATTTTGAAACAAATTTCTCAAAGTTGAAAAAAGCAGAGAGATTATTCATTCACAACCTCTAATGAATGAACCCAAACAGACTAAAGAAAAAGTGAACTTCAATTAGGGGTGGGCATTCTGTCGGTTCGGTTCAAACCAAACCGAAATAATGCATACCAGGTCCCCGAATTTCATCAAACCTCAAACCGTACTTGTGAGGTTAGCTTGTATCTTCTCTCTTTTAAATAATTTTTCACCCCTAATGTAAACAATAAATATGCATCATCAATGATAAAATTAAACATTTCAACACATAAGTCATAAAACACTATCATGATTCAAATATTTAAGTCTCATATTAAGTAGAAACACAAAAATCCACCATTTGGAGCTTGCAATTATAATAATTCGGTTTTTTGATTCGGAATTCGAAAATTCGGTTCGGTTGAAAGGACCCGATTTCCGAAGTATGTCCTTTTCTCTTCCGAATTCTGAACCGAATAACATTAATTCGGTATCAATTCAATTTATATTCAGTTCGATTAGGTTCGATTCGATTCTACCGAACCGTATGCCCACCCCTAACTTTAATCACTAATTCTCTACCGCCCTTTGCCCACGCATACTTTGATCGTTGTCATTTCTAGTAAGAGCCGAAATTATGATAGCACAACCCCAAAAAGAGCAAAATATCTAATTGAGCCGGAGCCACGTCGCCCTGCCCGATAATGATTTAGGTTTCAGCAATGATAATGATAGTATTTTTGTTTCTTTCTTTCGCCGCAATGCATGCAAGAATGTCTGGATTGCCATGAGAGCTGACTGTTCTAATCACTTCCTCAATTACCAAAAGTTGAAGGAATCTATCATCATCTTCATCTCCTTTCTTGCCCTATTATTTATCGAATTCTTATTTTTCCCCCTCTCAGAAAAGATGGCTTTAATTAGGGCTGGTAAGTGGTAATCGATATTATAGGTTAACAGTTTAACTGATAGGCAAGTTAGCGGGCTAAGTTCACTATCTGGTCCTTGATAAACAGTGGTGATCACCGAACAATCTAAGATATCAAAATATCTTATAACATAAATAATGGATTGTACCAAACCATTTTTAACAATCTGCCCGTTGTACTAATTTGTACGATCCAATTTGATCCATGATTATGTTGTTCACACCATGTGGTCTACTTTCCAGACCTACTAAGAGTGATCTTGGCAATATGTGGATGTCGTCAAGAATTCAATAACCATCGATAAGCTAGACATGCAAAGGGGTGGCTTGCCAGCACCAAGGCTAAGGCTCCTCCACCTTCAACCTCACAGGTTTGGTGTAGTGATTCCCTAATCATCCAAAATAGAAGGCAAAACGACCCTGTGGGCTGTGAGAAGTTGAGAACTAATATGATAAGCTAGAGATGCAAAAGTAGGACCAAGGCTACAACAAACCTTCCAAATATTTTACAACAGCATCCTCAAATGAGGAAGTCGTAGATGTTACAACTCATAAGAGGTAAAGTTGACAAAATATTAGGAATACGTAGCTCCATGGAAAAGCAAAATGCATCTTATTGGGAAATCGTTGTTACAAAAATGGAGTCATTTCAACTAACAAGTCATGTCGTCTATGACCTCTTAGTTGACTGATTCTTTAGGAAAAAATCCCAAGTTACACATGTTTTTAAAAAAAATTCTCAAAATACAAACGTTATGAAAATAATTCCCAATCTACGCATGTTTGGGCCATCACCGCTGTCGACGAAGACAGTGATTGCATCACTGTTGTCGACGAAGACAGTGATTGCATCACTGCTGTCAACGAAGACAGTGATTGCATCACTGCAGTACACGGCCGCGGTGAATGCCTGACCTGCGTCGAAACTTTAAACAAACGTAACTTTGTGCTCGGTTATCCGATCGTAGCGAATTTTTTTTTGATTCCGCATAATTTTTCGAGATCTTGCAAGCCGCAAATTGCCGTAGGCGGTTTGGTCCCGCCTTCGTCTTGAAAATATGTCGTTTGCTACCCCGAACGAGCCTTTTTTCGATTTCGTCAAACTTTGAACGACCATAACTTTGTGCTCCACAATCCGAAAATCATGAATTTGTTTTTGATTTCGCATAACTTTTTAAGGACTACAATTTTTATCATAGACATATTTTCGGAATATACTTGGATTCCTGAAAAGGAAGGTAAAGTTATTCCCAAAACCCCTTATATCCATAAATAATTCATTTTTTGAAAATTCTCTCCTACTAAATATTGTAGTCCTTAAAAAGTTATGCGAAATAAAAAAAAATTCATGATTTTCGGATTGTGGAGCACAAAGTTATGGTCGTTCAAAGTTTGACGAAATCGAAAAAAGGCTCGTTCGGGGTAGCAAACGACATATTTTCGAGACGAAGGCGGGACCAAACCGCCTACGGCAATTTGCGGCTTGCAAGATCTCGAAAAATTATGCGGAATCAAAAAAAATTTCGCTACGATCGGATAACCGAGCACAAAGTTACGTTTGTTTAAAGTTTCGACGCAGGTTAGGCCTTCACCGCGGCCGTGTACTGCAGTGATGCAATCACTGTCTTTGTCGACAGCGGTGATGCAATCACTGTCTTTGTCGACAGCGGTGATGCAATCACTGTCTTCGTCGACAGCGGTGATGCAATCACTGTCTTCGTCAACAGCGGTGATAGCCCAAACATGCGTAGATTGGGAATTATTTTCATAACGTGTGTATTTTGAGAATTTATTTTAAAAACATGTGTAATTTGGATTTTTTCCGATTCTTTACCACCGTTCTTCAGAACAACTACCACCTTCGCATGTGTTTCGACTTCTTGTTTGTTACAAAACCCTAGACATGAGACTCTTAGGATGTCGAACCATATGCAACTAGACACGTAGCCCTAGCTTCTCAGAAACCCTGCCCAACTTCTACCCAAGCTGCTGGAGCTGTAAGAGTTTCAAAAAACTTCAGTAGAAGTCCCTTTACATCCCGAGCTCCGAGCTACATACATGAGTCAAATATTCTCACTACACCCGCTGTTGTAAAATAGGCGGTGACGGTTTTGTTCGGTTGCCGAACCAAAACCATTAGAAACCGAAATCATAATTAGCCAATTGCTGAAAACCAAAACTGATAAGCCCTTAACTGATACGGTGTCAGGCAGAGCAAACTAAAAACAAGCCTTTGATTACATTAAGATTTATCAATTTTTATCAGTTTATTAATGGTTTTCGATTTTAATCAAAATCAAAACTGTTATACGCTTATCGATTTTTACCCATTAAGAAAACCCGACAAGCATATTAAACCGATTCAATTTTGGTTAAAGCCAAAATCAAACCGTGACGCTTACCCTAAACCATAATTCCCAAATACTATCTTATTAATTTCGCCGCATGTTGAAAACAACTTACTAAAAGTGCTTTAGCTGGGGATAAGATATACTGCTAATTCTCATTAGACCAATTGGGGAGAAGATAGAAAGAGTGGAAGTTGCTTGCTATTTTATTATGAAGATGCATGAAGGAAGCAAGAAAAAAGGGCAGAGAGACAAGACTCATCACTCAAGAGAACAAATCCTCCCACATGGATTGATATCCGACTTTGTACAAGGCAAAAACATAAATGAAGAGAGAGAGAGAGAGAGAGAGAGAGAGAGAGAGAGAGAGAGAGAGAGATATGAATCAAAAGCAGCTTCTGTTGACTAGGCCTGATCTGCAGAAAGCACACACATCACCTCCTTTACATAGGGGTGTGCAACGGTTCGGTTCGGTCCGGACCGGACCAAACTCATGAGAACCGCGGTCCATTAGTGAAAAACATGTTAGGACCAAGGACCGGACCATTCTTGCATTTGGTCCATTTGGTCCGGTTCGGTCCGATCCAAATATGAGCTCGGTCCACCATTTCTTCAGTAATTATAAAATTCATGAGGACCAAGAACCGGACCGCATTTTACTCGATCTGGTCCGATCCGGTCTTAACAACGGTTTGGTCCGGTGTGGTCCGGTACGGACCAGACCATTGCACACCCCTACCTTTACAGAACACTACCGGCGACCACTAACCTTACTGCCACTTTTCCGACGTATGCATGATTACAGCTCTAGGGGGAAAGGAAAAGCATAGGAGCAATATTCCGCCTACCAGAATTCTCAATCCCCCTAACCTTCACGATGTGGAATCAGACTACTACAAAGTTTACAAACCAAAGTTAAGAAGAAACTAAAGCGAACAAACAGGCAATTGGGTTGTGGTTGGGGCATGTTGTTTCATACCCGCCGCCGAACTTTACAGTTCGACGAAACGTCCCTACTGCCTCCCTCCGGAGTGCGGGATGATCACACAAGATCCATTCTTATACTACTAGTCTTTTCAAAAAGGAAAAGACACAAGAAGAAAAGGATGATCAGCATCATCATAATATAACAGGGACAGGAAAAGTAACAGCACTCACACACAAGTCTTAAATCAAATGTCCCCAACTTCAGGCACCAACCAATGTCAGCTATGCAATACGTTTAGAGCTTGTTAGTTATAGTTAAAAGGGTTTATAAAGCAGAGAAACCCACATTACTCAGCACCATCTCATTCTCATGATCTCATCCCACAATGGCAAACCCATTCCTAGTACGAGCAACCATCCCCATCAAATTCTAGCGCTAAAATCGGGAGTTCTGAATCACATTCCTAGTACTCTATCCATTCACCCTGCCTCAACCCATTTTTTTCTTTCCTTTATCGAGTTCCAGTGTTCCACAATTCCCATTATCTCCAGCATCAGATTAAAGATCAAGCAGAATAGTCTAGCATGGAGATATATAGAAATCAGCATCATTCGTTGGTGCAATCCTAACTACACTTAATTAACTCCCTGACCAACTTAACACTTTCACAACCTCAATCTATAAATACCCTGCTCATCGAGCTTTCCCTAGCACCTCATGTGTGTGTTCATGTATAGGTAAACAAGCAGCGGGAACTGAAAGAAGCACCTCTAGTGTCGTGGCTGTTTCCGCTTGTGACTTGACTTCATGTGTTAACCTCCTCCAACAAGTCGCTGAAGAAAGGATCAAAGAGTGCTTCTTTGGCTGAGTTGTACTGGTCCAACCGCTTCTTCAGTGAGCGCATCTCTCTTTCATGTTTAGAAGAACGTTCCTGACACAATCATGTACGTAACCCTTCAGTGGCATATCGTTTCAGCAGATTAAGTACACAGCATGAAAAGTATTTTGACAATTCAAAGAAAGATAAACACAAACAAGATAAGTAACGACTTACAAATGATTTCTTCAGAAGCAAGATGTCAACCAAGTACAGCAACCATAAGACATTTGTCCTTGGGTGGCTGAAGACAATTAAAAAAATAATCAGCGGAGTATAACATACACAACTATATACGAAGTCAATCAATGAACTGTTAAGTGCATCATATATGGAGGGATGTGAATTGTCCTTCGCCGTTTCATTAAAGTCCCCCAGAAGGGGAATCCTACAGATAAGTTGAGAAATGATGGAAGAGTTTCCCCTTCCCGTGCATCCATTTAAACCTTACATTCTTGCTACATGGATTTACTAATGGTTCTGATTTGGTCTATTTGTGGACTATGATCTTACCATTTACATCAAAGGAACTCCTAAGATGAAGCACCACCGGATAACTATTACTTTCATGTCCTAGATCAGGTTTCAGAATAAGAAATATATTTCTTAACAGAGTAGGTAGCAAGTCAGACAGAAAATGAATCAACAATGTCCTGCAGATTTCGACTAATGATATGAATGAATTTGCTTCAAAGCATAAAGAGATCCTCAATCATGAGAGCAGAGACACAGAATCAATTACATTACCTTCCTTCCCAAATATCCTGTGTTACCTCCTTCATCTTTCTATATGTTTCTGCCTGCAAATAGTAGAAAGAGATTAAAAAACCATGCAGCTGGGATTCTAAATTCACTGACCCGACATTATCAATTGATTTAGCTTTACCTGTTTGTCCCCCTTTGGTCCCTTGAACAAATAAGGATCAGATGACATATCAAAGCAGAGTATATCTTGACCTGAGTGAATAAGAAATTGTTAGTTCTGTTGAGTTGAGCAGAAATCTAATCTCATCGAGATAGAGTAAACTAGAACTCACCAGTACAAATTCGGGACAGAGTGAAATCAATTATGGATATCGACAATCCAAATGTTCTGAGAATCATTTTCTTTCCTTCGAGGGTAAACTGCACTTTGGTGCAATCATTTCGACTTAAGAGAACATTTCCCCTGGAAAAGCAAAAGCATCCTTAATCAGCATTCCGTGAACCAGATGATAATATATAATTGAGGACATAACTGAGCGTACCAATGAAGATCCCGATGTTCAAATTCAAATGCTGCTTCTGCAACTGCCAAACCAGATACTACCTGAAATGCACACAGTTCATCGGTTCAAACACAGAAGATTCCACATTCCAGCTGAAGAAAAGAAAGGAGCAGCTTTTAGTTACCTGGACGAGTAAACTACGTGTTTCATCAAAGTTCTTAAGCACAAAGCTTTCAAGGTCTTTGCCACCATGTTCCAATATAAATACCACATACCGCTGTAGAAATAATTAACTACATTAGAGCAGAGCCAGTAAAGATAAATCCTGTTGAAATGTGTTGTATCTGGGTAACAAACTATCACCCTTAGGCCTTAGCAAGATTTCAGTTTCCCTGCATGCACAGCAGACTATTGTCTGGACTAGAAGCTAAAATAATTTTGAGTAAACCAACATGTCCAAAGACTACATTAGATATAGACTTCGTACCTGTTTCTCAGGGAACCCCTTAGGATGATCATTTTCTGAATCATTCTGCTCGTCCCAATCTTCCCATGCTCTAATCAATACAGGGTCATAAGGACCTTGGCACACCCTTAACCTGTCATGCATTTTAAGGACCATCGTCCATTGGCCAAAACACCTTGTCGTCAGCTCCTTTAGTCATGACTCATGATTCATGCCATGTCCAAGTCACATATCAAAATAAGGAAGGAGAAACATTGTACCAGAAACAGACAATAATTGCTGAAAGGAAAAGCAAGAGAATCAAAGGGAGGGCTTTAGGACGTAAGAGTAAAGACACGTACTCCAGAGTTTCTATGAATGTTGTGCATGCATTTTGAGCTGCAGCATCCCCTCTTAGAGCATTAAGAGTTTTTGAAAGTCTGACCTCCTCAAGGAGTTCTTCTGATCTCTGGAGACATCAAATGATTCAGTGATAACTAGAGGGTAAAGAAGTCGTAATACTCATGAGGAGTTGCGTAAGTTGATTCAGTTTTGACAAGAAAGCTTTGCTGATTCTGGATAACAAACGCCTCACTGAGAAGCAAATAATTCCCAAGTTCAACCATGTAATGCCTAAGTTTAAGTTCGAACCAAAGATCGATACCATAACGAATACCTTTTGTATTTCTCCATTAACACGCGAGTCTCCATCAATTGGTACTAGTTTACAGACAGTGTTGCCCACTTTAAAGACTTCTCCATAAGTGCCTTCACCCAGTTTGACAATATCTTTTGGGTCGCTGCGGGAAAGACATTCGTAAGTCTCATGATGTTAACGATGCAGAAGCTTTGCATGCAAAAGACACTAGGAAGCATGAATGTAGGAAAACCCCAGAAGATGGTTGTGGAACAGAATTACAAAAGAGAGCATGGAGAAAGTAGTGATAAATAACAAACCAGTATTTGGAGAACACATCTAGTAACGTTGATGGGGCTGATTGGCCACAGTAAGCCAACAGAGCAGGGAAAGGATCCGCAAAGTCAAGATCCAACGAAGATGTCGAAGCCAGAGACAGCTTCTTAACAGCTGCCTCAATGTCTCGGCATCCATCACCAGACATAGTTTCCTCGCCGCTGTCTGTCTGGGCAACAAACTGATCTTCCAAGTAAGCGTGGATTCTTGCCAGGGTAGAATGCTTATAAGAACGGATATTGGAGGCAGACTTTTCTGGGGTCTTCAACTTAAACCCTCCAACGCCATTAGCGGAACGCACGGCCGGAGTTTCAAGTATCTTAGACAATGTGGTGGATAGATTGGAGTCGGAGTTGAAGTTGTGTGAGATTAACCAATTGGGTAATCTGGAAGAGACAGGCTTGACGGCAGCAGCAGCATCCGCTTCATTGGTTGCGACCCAAGTGGAAATGTGTTTGGGAGAAGGACTCTCTTCCAGCAGATCGAAAGCATCCACCTCTTTGAAGTATTCCAGTTCTTTCTCAAAGTTTGGAGGCTGCGGCTGCACGCCGTTCAACAAGACGTTAAGATCGAGCGAGAGAAAAAGTGCTAGCTTGGTTACAGTCAGTCAGTCAGAATGTAACTAGTTATACTAGACCTAAAATGCTAAAAAAATCCATAATTCTAGAGGGTGAAGAGAGTGCGTACTCTATGAACAGGCGGCTTTCCCTTTCCCTTCCCCTTTGCGTTCCCGTTTCCCCTGGGCGGCGGCTTCTGCTTACCCTCCCTCTTTTGAGGCCGATCGTCTACAGAAGCGAAAACGGCGATGCTTACCCTCCCTCTGTATGGAAACAAATTTCAGCAATGGCGCACTTTCACGAATTCAACAGAACGCTAATAGTAACATCCAGGGAAGAATAGAGAGAGGAACCTGGTAGAAAGGGAACGATTCCAGCTGACTCGCTTGACGGGAGGTGGAACAGCGAAACTCGGACGATTCAGATGGCTGGAATTGGACCAGGGAAAAAGAAAAGAAGCATCCACGAGCGTAAAGCGCAGGCAGTCGGAGATGATTTCGCAAAGGAGGAAGAGAGGGCTGACTTACAGTGAAGCGGGAGGCGGCTCCGGACGGGATTGGGGGAGCCGACGCCGGTAAATCGCTTGGGGCTGCTGATTATGATGGCGGCCCCCTTCGCCTTCCTCTTCGGCGACCAGTTCCGACCACAAATCTCGATTGCTACTACGACTCATGATCGTGAATCCGGATCGCGGTTTCCGATGAGAGCTTGAAATTGAGAGACAAGAATGTGATTTTGATTTGAATTCAAAAAACAAAAAGCATTTGGGAGGGAAGATAAGAATTTAGAGTCGACAGTGACTCTGGCAGTAAGAGCGCGCTGTGAATCAGCGTCCCCGCACTACTTTACGGAAACCACCACCCAGTAATCTATATGTGGGCCATCGAAGATCCATGTGGAATTAGACGACCTAACATAGGATCAATTGGTGGGCCAGAGAGTAAATCTCATGGGGTTATGCTCAGCGCTTAATTGAAACAGCCCACTGACTGCCATTACTTTTTTTTAGGCTAAATTACAAGTTTGGACACTTGAATTACTAGTAAAGTTTGCGCTTGTCGCTATAATTACTTTATTTCATCCGTAGTCACTTAAATTAGTTCAACAATTAAGTTTGGTCACTCTTCGTTAGTCTCCGTTAAATTTTGCTGACGTGACAGTCAACTCTGATAGTTGACCCTTAAATAAGTGACGTGACAAATAAAAGATAATTAAATAAATAAAAATAAATCTTTACCAAACATTTCCCTAAAAAAAAAAAGAAGCATCATGGCCACGTTAGCCTGGAAAACGACCGTCGATCTAACACTCGCTTTGTTTAATCTCCCTTTCTATCTCCGCCTTCCACTTCCACAGCAGAGAAATCTCGAGTTTGTCTCTTGAGACCCAGTGCCGCATTTCCCCGGTCTTCTGAGCTTCGGAGGACGATTGAGTATGGCTGCCACTAATCGGAGCGTGGCGGCATTCTTGCTGCTGATGATGCTTTGTGAGTTTGGCGGCGGTGGTTCACTGCGACGATTCGGAGCTGACGATGGTGGTGAAGAAGGTTAAGGGGAAGAGAAGAAGTATTGTACGAAAGGTTGGGAAGACGATCTCCGAAATCGAGGATCTCGCGTGACTGGCCACCTGCGTCGGCGTCCTGGTCTTGACGAAGTGTTCACACCTAAAATTAATTTGGCCGAATTTAAATGCCGCATTAATTAGTTTCGGCATTTAAGTCGATACCGCGGGTAAAAACGGTGTCGTTGGGAGTCGAGCGGTGCCGCGAAACAGAAGAACGGTACCGCAAAGAAGCTCAGCGGTACCGCAACACTGGAAACGATACCGCTTGCCGAAAATAAAAAAGGGCCGCGCGTTTAATGGGGTTGGAGGAGGAGTTTTATTCCTTGGGAGAAGCGGCACCGCGGGGAGTTAAAACGGTACCGCGAGTAAACCCAGCGGTACCGCAATACTGGAAACGATACCGAAAATCAAAAGGGGGCCGCGCGGTTAGTTGGGTATTGGAAAAGGAGTTTTGTTTATAATTAATTATTGTTATTTTTATTCCTTGTTGGATGGGGAGAAGCGGCACCGCGGAGAGCTAAAACGGTGCCGCGGAATTAAAAACAGTACCGCGATGAAGCCCAACGACAGTGTTTAATAATAAACAGTGTCGCGGAAGAAAAAAACAAACGGAGCTGGTTGGGAAAGAAAACGACACCGCAAGGCTGGAAGCGGAGTCGTTTAATATTAAAACGATGACGCGGGTAGAATCAAGCGGAGCTGTTTGGGAAAGGAAACGACATCGCGGGATCATGAAAACAACTCACGTAAAGTTCACGCGAAGCAGTTTGAGGAGCGAAGCGGTTGAGACACGTGGGATTTCACAACGGAGCAGTTGAGGAAGCGGTTCCACCGAGCGTGAAGACTACGAAGCAGTTTTTTCGAATAAAAGCAGTGGGGCAAGGAGAGAGAAGGGGGGAACCAAAAATCAACACAGAACAACTCTGTCAAAACTTTACCTTTTCTCTGTAACTCCTTCGCGGAGCTCTCCTTCCAGGAAGGATCTCCATAGTTGTAGTCTTAGTCGTAGTCGCGGAGCTCTCCACAGGAATCTCCATAGGAGTAGCGGTAGCGTATATTCCTCAAAAACTCAAACACCCTGGTTCGAACGTAGTTTGGAGAGGTGTGAACCGTAGTCACAGTCGTCTTGATTAGAAGTCAGTGGCGCATCAATTCGATCAAATCAACATCGTCGTTTGGCACGCCGGCGGTGGTATTTGGTCAGAAGATAGTGGTGCATCCGTTAAATCGGCACCGCAAGAGTTTCCACCGCGAAATATTAAATCAACATCGCCGGGAACGAATTCGGCACCGGCGGTGGCATTTGGTTTTCCCGAGGAAACATTTTGGCACACCCGGTGGGACACGTGTGTTTGACACGGCTCCGCGTCGAGAAAATCAAGATCGTGATCTTCCACACGTACCTGTGGAGGAGGAGGCGCCCGACATCGAAGTTGGTCAGGCGAACGGGGCAGATAGACGTACTCAAGGGATGGAAGAGCGGCTACATGATGAAATCCTATATCTACGTCAATCCATGGAGGGTTTTCGCCAATCCATGAAGGAGTTTCACCAAGAGGTAAATCTCCAATTTGATAATCTTGAAAAGAAAATGGATAAGTTTGAGAACAACATAGATCGATGGTTTGATAAGTTGGATGACTGTGTTTCTGATTTTAGTATGTCAATACATAGATCCACATGTGATTTTGATGTGTTTAAATATGAAACCATGTCTGTTGCGTGCGATGATTTGATGGTTGATCGGCTAGCCAAGGTCAACCAAACGCCATCGACGAGTATGGCTACAACATTGTTGTCAGAAGCAAGGAATCCCAATGTGTCTTTTCCAGTGAACAACATTGGTCTTAAGGACACCCAAGTTGGAGGTGGCCTGCAGAAGCCACTACAAAGAGGTCAGTATCAACATATGTCTAATAAGAATGAAAATAAGAATAAGGGTGGACAATCTGGTTACAATCACGTTGAGCATAGCAAGCTCGCGTATGAGGGGTTGTCCAAGCAACATCGCGATGGGGTTCAATCTAAGCCGCTAGGGGGGCATGAGATCCCACCGCATGGCCGGTTGAAAGAAAAACAACACCGTAAGTGGCAAATAAGTTGGCCACATCCACCCCATTTTATGAAAAATCAAACTAGGATAACCACAAACACTATTCAAGATGGAGGTGGTGACCACGTGAAAAAATCTAATGCCACCAAAGTTGGCATGAATCAACAGAATTCTCTATGTAAATTGTCCCCAAAACCTCCACTGAGTAGAGAGGGGGGCAAGTTCGATCAAACCCGACATGGGGTTGCCACACCAGTGCTGGCTGGGAACAAATCCATGAGTGGTGGTCTGGGGGGCAAGGCCAATGCCAAACAAACTCCAAACTCACGTGGAATTTTAAAAGGGGAAACGTTGTTGTGTGATCGGTGCAAAAGTCATGTTCGTGGTAAACAAAGTACCAACGTACCTGTTGATGAAAAGTCTCGGCGCTCATACTACCAACAACATGGTGAGAGTGCGAAGCTGACAAAACGATACCAGTCTAGGCAAGCGATGTCGCATGATCGAATTGGCAAGACAAATGCATCAAATAATGTGAATGTCTTACTGAGAGAAAAAAAACGTTGGTGATTCTCCATGTCACCAACATAAAACGATGGTTGAGATGAGGCCAAATCAGGATCGTGGAGTTTCGAAAAATGTTGTTCGAGCTAAACGGATTGGGGAGTTGCAAGTCAACATTGACTCCAAAACATCAAAACCAACGGGTGTGAATCCAGATATGAGGAGTCATGGTATTTACGGATGGCTTGTTTGGTTTGATCATTGGAGTTGGCAATGGGTGTGGACTTTTGGCATTATGTTTTATGCCAAAGTCTAGCTGGTTTTCATTTATCTATTATTAAAATAAAAGTGGCTAATATTAGGCCACGGGATATGTTCAAAAAAAATTAAAAAAAAATCAATAGTATTAATGGTATTTTGGCGATGTTGTCAAGAAGGAGTCACAACGTTGTTGGCAAGGAAACATCCATGTGTTGTAAAGAGGAAAGATTGGCTAAACATGCCTGTTTTGGCCAAAGTGTGAGGCAGAGCCGATAGCCTCATACAACGATGATTTTATGTTTCTTTTCTCAACAACGTTGGTGTAAAAAAAAAAAAAGACAAAAGAGGCCAAACACTATTTTGGGCCCAAGCAGCATCGCAGAGATGCAAGGTTGCTGTAATTGGTTTAGGCTACAATAGTGGTGTGGGCCAAACAAAGTTGCTGGCAAAGTTTAAAAAAAATATATATATAAAGTGGTAATAGGAAGAACAACTCTGCCGAGGGAAGCAACATTGTTTTAAAATTAAAATTATTAACTACCGCGTCTTTGTTTTCATTGCCGCAGCGTTGCGGGCAATGGCTGATTGCAGTGTTGCGGAATGAAACAAAACACATAAATATACCAAAGCACCACCGTTTGACCCAAAGCAACATTAAGGGTTTAAAGGAAAACGCCGTTGTTTTATCATCAACAGCGCTGCGGGAGGTTTTCTTTTCTTTTCCTTCTTTGACGAGGTTGCGTAGCTGGCCCGTGAAAACTTAATAAAAAAAAGGGTGGCTGTTTTGGCCAAAACAAAGATGCCTCAATCAATTACGTTGATTTTACACCTTGGCCGCAGCCCGCAAGGTTGCAGGGCTAAAAAAATAATAATAATAATAATAATAATAGTAAACAAAAAAAAAAAAACAGGATTGAAACTTGCTGCTGCAGCTTTGCGGCAAGAGAAGGGAAAAGGAAAAAGGCCAGCGGTGATGAGAATAGCAACCACATTGTTGATAATTATTTTTATTATTTATTAATTTGTTATTGTTGCAAGGCGATGTAGTTTTAGTTGCCGCAATATTGAGCAAAATAAATCCACTTTGTCTTGGGCGAGGCCACACAACTGCCCAGTATAGAGGGCTGGATCCACAACGATGCGGGCAAGGAGGAAAAATCCAAAACACTGCCGTTTGGCCTGGGCAACGCTGCGGGAGTCTACAAAAGCAAGTCAGTTTTTGGCCAAGGCAGCCCTGCGGCAGCCGCTAACAAAGTTGCTAGAAATTTGGCCAAAACAGGACTGTGTATGAATCCAAGCAGAGCTGCCGATGTTGAGAAGTCATTAGGGAATACTTTATTATTTTTTTATTTTTTTTTTGGATT